TGATGAATTAGATGATAGTCACCTGATGAGACCCTTAAGCAAGGTCGCAACCGGTCGTGACTGCTTATTCTAAGATGAAACATCGAAAAATTCGAAGCCATCCATGGAATTTCCAAAAGCCGAAAATACTTCCAAAGCTACAAGATCAAAGGATTGCAAAGATTCCATTGATTATCCAACATGCAAAGATGGAATCAGTCTTGGATGTAGGTGGGTATAAGTGTTAGTGGGTGGGTGTCAATGGGATCCGGACAGTTGGTCGCACGGACACTTGGTCGCGGACAGTTGCGCGCGGACAGTTGCTCGCAGGACAATTGGTCGCAGGACATTGTCATTGGTGCCAAAAACTGGTCATTTATACCACGCCCTTGTTAGAGACAAAGAAACAGACGGACAGACAGACCCAGGTGAATTACGATTTCTAGACCCTAGTCTTTCGGTCTAGGGAATAAATAATGTTAAATTTTTTTCACCCCATATTGTTCCTACTTTATACTTATGCGACCAAGTGTCCTAGTGACCAAATGTCCGTGCGACCAACTGTCCTGCGACCAACTGTTCGTGCGCAACTGTCCGCGACCAACTGTCCGTGCGACCAACTGTCCTAAACCCGGTGTCGATGTGTGTGACTGTATACATAAGTCTTCTCTTGGTCAATACCCGCATCCACACCCACATATCCACATCCCAAATTTCACCATGCTATTGATTGATTGAAAGAATAGAAAACGTTTCAACTTATGGCGTCTTTCAAGTTCTTGCTTTAGCTCTCCATGTTTATGGAACTGTACACGAGGCTTAAGAGTCTTCGGATATCAAGTTTTCAATGTGTCCAATAGCTGGAAAATTTTGGATTCTCATAGAAACCGCCGTACCATGATTACATTAACGACCTCAAGAAACATTTTCATCTCATGAAATATTTGCACTCCTCGCTCAAGTCTCCAATATTAGTGAACTGCATAGAAGTGTCTAGAATTTCCAGACTTTCAAGGTCTACAAACGTTAAATGTCTCATAATTCTCTGAATCTGATAGACTTTCTCATGAGTTTTGCCATTCTGAGAACGACACAACATTTCAAGTGACGATATCCTTGCAATTCTTGCTTGACATTTGATGAATCAGTATGTTCATACGAGCCTGGAGGAATTCAAGGATTTCCATCGTTGGATATCTTAGAATTCTTTGAATCTGATGAACACAATTATGGTCTTCAATATTCTGAAAGCTAGACAAGGTTTCAAATCATGGAATCCTTGCTTAGGTTTCGCATGCCTAAGGATCGGCATGGAAGCTTTTAAGGTTTCTAGGGTTTCAAGGATTCCCACTGTTGGATGTCTTGGAATTCTTTGAATCTGATACATATCATCATAACTTTCACCTTTTTGAAGGCTACACAACGTTTCCAGTGATGGAATCCTGGGAACCATTACTAACGCTTGACATGCCTAGAGATCGACATCAGCACCATCAGGATTTCAAGGGTTTCAAGGATTTAGATTGCTGAATGTCTAGTGATTCCTTGATTCTGATAAACGCCACCATGGACTTTACTATTCTGAAGGCTACACAAAGTTTTAACTCATGGAATCCTTAGAATCCTTACTTCGATCTTCAATTCTAAGGTTTAAGATTTCTCAAAGCCGTAGAATTGTGAGAGTTTCAAGGATTTTGTGTCACTTTACGTTTTTCCAGATGTTTCACAACGTCAGGCTATTTCCAGAACATCGAAATACGAAGATTTGCAATGTTTTTCATGGTTTTTTAATGAATTGGAAATATTGGATTTTTCAAGGTTTCCAAGGTTTCGGAAACCTTGAAAAATGGTGGCATAGCGGGCTCCCGGGTTGAGTTACTTTTTCTTATTGATTAATGAAATTTATTTTAGATTTAAAAAAAAAAAACAAACGCGGTGTACAAGATTTTTTTTAAAAGTTACTTGTCCTTTATTTATTGGATTCGATGTTGAATTTTTGTACTCGATGATTTCTGTAATCGACGACATAGAGATTGCCGTGTCGATCGAATGACAAACCTTCGGGCCCATTCAGTTGATTCGATTGTCCTCCTCGATCGTTTCCACCAACAATGACACTTCCCTGTGTGGCTCCTTTGGGCCAACGCATGATTCGATCATTGTCTGAATCAACCACATAGACAGTGCCCAATTCATCGACAACGACTCCTTCAGAATATGACAATTGTGTAAGACCATTTCCTTCTCCTTGACCACCAGCCACGACAATGCCTTGTTTTGCATCTTTCATCCATTTCATCACACGATGATTCCAACAGTCAGATACATAGACTGATTGATCTCGATCGACGAATACGTAGTGTGGACCATTGAGTTGATCGAGACGATTTCCATTTCCATTGCCACCTGCAACCACTGTTCCTTCCGATTCTCCTCTTCGATATCGTCTCACTTCATGTTTTCTCCAGTCAACGACATAGAGAGATCCATTCTCATCCATTGTCAAACCCATACAAGAGATGTTGAATATGATTGTTTCTCCACTTGTTCCATTTCGACGAGGCCATCGCACCACTCTGTTATTCCAACGATCGCATATAATGAGACTATCTGTCCCTTTGTCGGCAATCACATCATATGGGTAAGACAATTGATGAGTCCCACTTCCTTCTTCATTTCCACCGGCAACCACTTGGCCACTCGTCGCACCCCATTTCCATTCCATAATACGATGATTGCCTTGATCAGCAACATAGATTGTTTGTTCATCATCAACAAACAAACCCCATGGGTTTGAGAGTTGATTGATTCCATTGCCTTTTCCATTTTCTCCAACTACAGTAATCCCATTTTGTTGCCATCGAGCATTTGAATGAATATCAATGACACTTGCACGTAATGGGGCAAAGGCTGCAGATAGAAAAAAAAACATTCTTAATTTTATATTCTATCTCCATAATGTTCAAAGTATTGTTTCGAGATTTCTATTTGAAGAACGATAGAATAGTAGCGATTTCTTTATGCTATGATTTCGAACGATGAAAAGAACATTTTCTCTTTTTAGGCATCTGTTCGTCTCTGCTCTCGAACCTTTGTCGAACTATAGATACATGCGTCATGTAGCTTCGATTTTTTAAAATATTTACTCATACTGAATAGTCTGCTGTTCAAGAATTTCTAGTGGGTTAGTTCTGAGAGACATCTATGTATATAATGTTCAGTGTGTGTCTGTTTGTGTATTTCTCTGTGCCGGGTCAAAGATCAAAGGATAAAGATCAAATAAGGCTGCAAAGGGGAAGGCCCAAGGGCTACCTATAGGTCCTCAAGGGCTAGTATATTGGAGCACCCATAAGCCCTGAAGGGAGTAAGGCAATCTATGTATCCCCTTGATCAAAATAAACGGAACACCTCTTTCTTAAAATATATCTCAAATATTAAAGGCTATTAAATCTTGTTCATATGTAAACTTGTACGTTGTAGTAAGACTCAAATAACTATCAATAAACTTGTCGCCGGTTGCAATAATTTATTGAACAAAAATAGAAATTTGTCTTAGACACTGGTGTGTGGTTGTAACAAAAATTTGTTGTCATGCTGTTTTAGTAGACTTTTTTAATTAATTAAAAAAGTCTACTAAAACAGCATGACAACAAATTTTTGTTACAACCACACACCAGTGTCTAAGACAAATTTCTATTTTTGTTCAATAAATTATTGCAACCGGCGACAAGTTTATTGATAGTTATTTGAGTCTTACTACAACGTACAAGTTTACATATGAACAAGATTTAATAGCCTTTAATATTTGAGATATATTTTAAGAAAGAGGTGTTCCGTTTATTTTGATCAGGGGGATATATAATGTTCAGTGTCTGTCTGTCCGTCTGTTTCTCTATGCCAGGTCAAAGGCTAAAGGTCGAATAAGAGTATAGGCGAGTAACACTATAAGGAGTAAGGTTATAGAGGCGTCGACTGTAAGGGGAAGGATAAAGCTATAGAAGGATAAGGCTATCGCAGCATAAAGCTATAAAGAGATAAGACTACCGAGCAGTAGGGCTATAACTGGCTAAGGCTATAGAGCAAGGGACGATAAAGGAGATAATGCTAAAAAGGGGTAGGGCTATAGACGGATAAGTCTATAGAGGGATGGGCTACAAAGGAGGTAAGGCTATAGAGGAATGGACTGTGAGTGGTATTGGATAAGGCTATAGAGGTGTGGGCTGTAAGGGGAGTAAGGCTATAGAAAGGTAAGGTTACAACGGATTAAAGCTATAAAGGGATAAGATTATAGAGGAGTAGGGCTATAACTAGGTAAGGCTATAGAGGCATGGGCTATAAAGGAGGTAAGGTTATAACAGGGTAAGACTGTAGAGGCTTAGCGCTATAAGGGATAAGGATATAGAGGGATAAGGCTATAAGAGCCTAAGGCTATAGAGGGCTAAAGCTATGGAAGGGTAATGCTGTGATGCCGTAGGGCTTTTCTGTACATTATGTTGAATGTGTATATCTGTATTACTGAGTGAATGATTAAGGGTTTCAGAACATACGTTAGAAGAAAAAATAGCCGTGCAGTATGCATGGATTCTCGCTAATATATAATATATTTTGTGTACCCAACAAAAATAAAAACTACGTGTTTTTACTCAAGGAATTATCACGACATGTCAAAACTGATACTCACATCCTGCTTCAAAAATATTTCAACTCAAAACACTTCAATCGATAGTCAGTTGTGATATTATATTTATGAATGTGCAATAAGAATCAGATATTGTTTTTATCTTTTTTGTCTTTTAGACAATTCATTCAAAAAAACCTTGGCACCAATTACTGCATCACATGGAATGCCAATAGATTGTTAAAGTAAATAATCATCTTCGAACTAGAAATCGCGTGCGCTATATATGATTACATGCAATTATTGTCTCACGTGTTAATCACACATCTACATATTGTTAGAACACTTTCGTTACATAAAAACGAAAATTTGTCTTTTAATCACTTTAACGTATAATTTTTATCTTTCTCTGTTGGAATAAGTGAAAATATTTTTCGAAGCATCAGATGATCGAAGCGCATTCTGCCCTAATTCATATAAAAGATACTTCTTTTTTCTTCTAATAGCTTCGAGAAATATTTTAAATCTGACTATGATTCACATGCAAATGTAAATGTCGAAACATGATGATTTTCTCAAGTTCAATTATTATTCATCGTATTCATTAAGTGAGAAATAAAAATGAAATTTTGATGATATATTTTTTTCTTGAAAATTTCATCCATTTACATTCACTTTTCTTAAAATGAATGTGTTGGCAATTCTCGTTTTTTAATAGTCTTGGCTACTCATCTATATAACAATTCTTGTTGTAAATATTATGAGATTACCTTAAAAAATGATGTTTTATCATATGCTTTTCAAAATTTTAATGAAAGCAACTTCATGGCTTTATTCACATCGGCAAGCGATCAAGTTATATTGAATGATATCTAACTAACGGATAGTTTTGCTTTATAGAAGTCTTCTAGTGTAGTATTCTGACACGTTTAGAATGAACTTTAATTGGCAGGTATCATTAAAAAACTCTTGTAAATAAAAAAGAATAGTCTGCAGGAAGATCAGCTCGTAAATAATAAGTACTAGTTATTAACGGATTCGAGTATATCTATTTGCTTTCTAGTGTTAATTCACTTCTATAAATATCAATCGATATATCTTTCATAATTGAATCTCTAACTGGACACATGGACGAATTGTGAAAAACTGTTGATAACATTTGTTTTTTTTTTTATAATCAAAGATCAAAATGTTTTCATTCATAGGAATTCAATAGTTCTTAAGATAGTTGATTATTCTATTGATATTCATGAGTTTTTCATTGATAGAATCTTCATACATTTGATAGGAAAAATGTGACAGACCGATCTACGTTTTGTGACAAAAATAATGTTATAAAATAAAAGAAGGCAATCGATTGTAATACGAAAGTTTTCATGTCACTTGCTTTTCTCGTAGAACCTATTTTCTCGCCTTTGTGCACATAAACAGCGTCTCTTTTATGGCTTTGTGTTCAGTTCTTAGAATATCGGTAAATTGTTTAGACATACTACGTTGAATTTCCACATAGAATTGATTCTAATAGTTCCTATGGACTCGTCTACTAACGTAAGTTCATATTTTTTCATTGAATAAATTTCATTTTGATTAATTTTTAATGCTTATTAAAAATTAGTCAGTTTAATATCTTTTGAATACTAAGTAAATACTCGAAGATAAGAATGTATTTTCAGGAAATAAAAAGAAGACATTCAAAATGACTTCAATGTAATTTTAATACAATATCTATTTTATGATATTGTATGAAATTTTGATACATTTTGTCAAGTATTTTACATTTTGCTGAGGTATAGAAATCTCTCTCTCTCGTGTTTTATTAGAAAATCATCACTTTGAGTTCAATCTAATGATAACATATCTCATGGTCTTATATTTTGAACTGAGTGAAAATCTTCTAAAATCTAACTAGAGCCCATTAAATAGTACTAAACCAAACAAAAATAGTTTTGAGTTTAAACCATATGTTAAACGTATGATATCATCTTTAATTCGAATTTCTTTCTCTTTTGTAGAGTTTTTATCATAAAAACAAGTTGAATACATTGCATGTACTATTGATAACAAAAGATATACAGTCCACGCCAATTGAAAGTATACCCTTCGATTTTTCGTGTTTTCATCGCCATAACTTGTTTGTTTTTAAACTTATTATATATAGGAAAAAAGCCCAAAAGACGCTGCATCTGATTGTATATTTATGTTAAAAAAATAGATGCAGTTTGAAGTATAAAAAGGGTGTTTGAAAATATAGTGACACTGGAGGCCCCTGTGAAGGGTTGGACTCAAGGAGGAAAAGCGGGACTCCTGGAGTGCGTACTCCCACTGTACTACCCTGTTCTTCCACTGTACCCCCCTGTACCTCCTCTGTGCTTCCCTGTACCTCCACTGTACTTCCACTGTACTCCCCTGTACTATCCTGTACCTCCCCTGTACTCCACTGTACCTCCACTGTGCTCCGCTGTACCTCTACTGTACTCCCTGTACTTCCACTGTACTATCCTGTACCTCCACTGTGCTCCCTGTACTTCCACTGTACTCCCCGTACCTCCACTGTGCTCTTCTGTACTTCCACTGTACTCCTCTT